GGTGTTCACCCTATAACGACGGTGTTCAACCTATAACGACGGTGTTCACCCTATAACGACGGTGTTCAACCTATAACGACGGTGTTCACCCTATAACGACGGTGTTCACCCTATAACGACGGTGTTCACCCTATAACGACGGTGTTCACCCTATAACGACGGTGTTCACCCTATAACGACGGTGTTCACCTTATAACGACGGTCTTCTCCCTATAACGACGGTGTTCACCCTATAACGACGTGTTCACCCTTATAACGACGGTGTTCACCCTATAACGACGGTGTTCACCTTATAACGACGGTGTTCACCCTTTAACGACGGTGTTCACCCTTTAACGACGGTGTTCACCCTATAACGACGGTGTTCACCCTATAACGACGGTGTTCACCCTATAACGACGGTGTTCACCCTATAACGACGGTGTTCACCCTATAACGACGGTGTTCAACCTATAACGACGGTGTTCACCCTATAACGACGGTGTTCACCCTATAACGACGGTGTTCACCCTATAACGACGGTGTTCAACCTATAACGACGGTGTTCACCCTATAACGACGGTGTTCACCCTTATAACGACGGTGTTCACCCTATAACGACGGTGTTCAACCTATAACGACGGTGTTCACCCTATAACGACGGTGTTCAACCTATAACGACGGTGTTCACCCTATAACGACGGTGTTCACCCTATAACGACGGTGTTCACCCTATAACGACGGTGTTCACCTTATAACGACGGTGTTCAACCTATAACGACGGTGTTCACCCTATAACGACGGTGTTAACCCTATAACGACGTTGTTCACCCTATAACGACGGTTTTCACCCTATAACGACGGTGTTCACACTATAACGACGGTGTTCACCCTATAACGACGGTGTTCACCCTATAACGACGGTGTTCACCTTATAACGACGGTGTTCAACCTATAACGACGGTGTTGACTCTTTCAGCGCGACCCACAAGACCCGACCACGGGTGCACCATCGAGTTTGACCCACACGGCCACCACAGGTGTCCGCCCGGGGAGGAGCTGTGGATCGACTACACGCAGTGTCGGCTGGTCTGTGGGCAGTCCAGGGACCACACCAACAACAGACACTAGACGGCCAACAACAACAGGCACTAGACGGCCAACAACAACAACAGACACTAGACGGCCAACAACAACAAAAGACACTAGACGGCCAAAATCAACAGACACTAGACGGCCAACAACAACAGACACTAGACGGCCAACAACAACAGACACTAGACGGCCAACAACAACAGGCACTAGACGGCCAACAACAACAACAGACACTAGACGGCCAACAACAACAAAAGACACTAGACGGCCAACAACAACAGACACTAGACGGCCAACAACAACAGACACTAGACGGCCAACAACAACAGGCACTAGACGGCCAACAACAACAGGCACTAGACGGCCAACAACAACAACAGACACTAGACGGCCAACAACAACAGCAGACACTAGACGGCCAACAACAACAAAAGACACTAGACGGCCAACAACAACAACAGACACTAGACGGCCAACAACAACAGACACTAGACGGCCAACAACAACAGACACTAGACGGCCAACACCAACAACAGGCACTAGACGGCCAACAACAACAGACACTAGACGGCCACCAACAGACACTAGACGGCCACCAACAGGCACTAGACGGCCACCAACAGACACTAGACGGCCAACACCAACAGGCACTAGACGGCCACCAACAGACACTAGACGGCCATCACCAAAAACAGGCACTAGACGGCTATCACCAACAACAGACACTAGACGGCCAACACCAACAGACACTAGACGGCCAACACCAACAGACACTAGACGGCCAACACCAACAGACACTAGACGGCCAACACCAACAACAGACACTAGACGGCCAACACCAACAACAGACACTAGACGGCCAACACCAACAACAGACACTAGACGGCCAACAACAACAGGCACTAGACGGCCAACATCAACAGCAGACACTAGACGGCCATCACCAACAACAGGCACTAGACGGCCACCAACAGACACTAGACGGCCATCACCAAAAACAGGCACTAGACGGCTATCACCAACAACAGACACTAGACGGCCAACACCAACAGACACTAGACGGCCAACACCAACAGACACTAGACGGCCAACACCAACAACAGACACTAGACGGCCAACACCAACAACAGACACTAGACGGCCAACACCAACAACAGACACTAGACGGCCAACACCAACAGACACTAGACGGCCAACACCAACAACAGACACTAGACGGCCAACACCAACAACAGACACTAGACGGCCAACACCAACAGACACTAGACGGCCATCAGCAACAACAGACACTAGACGGCCAACAACAACAGACACTAGACGGCCAACAACAGACACTAGACGGCCAACAACAGACACTAGACGGTCAATACGATTAAAACCATCAAACCGTTATTTCAAAGAAACTGACTAGACTTATCAGTTCACACTGAACTTTTCAATTTTGATTCATTTTTCACAGTTTCTCTCTATATACCATGCCATGTTGATGCTGTTTTTGGATTGTTTTAAAAAGTGAATTTTGTCCAGGATGGTTTTTTTTCACTTTTTCGCTTCTTTGTGGGCACTTTTGTGGTATTAGCGGGAATATTTGAATTCTTTTCATTCAGTTGATATCTTGCTGTTTCAAAGTTACAATATGTTTGATACTTCTATGAATTCCATGTTCTTTTTATAGAATTTTTTTGTTAATTAATGGTAACCAATTAATCTATTTCCTTTGTTTTTTTTAATTTTTAAAAACCAGTTATTCCCCCTTTAGTTATTTGAGAAAAAAATGTTTAAAATCGCAGATTTTTTTTTAATTTGATTTTTATTTTTGTTTGGCTGTTTTAAAAAAAAATCTTTAAAAAATCAAAAAATTGATATTTTGTCTGTTACAGTCTAAGCAAACAATGTTATTGATACTTTATTACTTTTTTAAAAATTAAAATAATTATGTAAACAGATCTATTGTGCTCTTTAGTGTCTAGTCACACTGATCTAGTAAACTTCCGGTTAGCGAAAAATACACACACACACTCACACAATACAGTTTCACTTACACACACATACAAGATATACTACAGCCCTTCATGAGTTCGTAAACATTTCTGACATAGACGCACAAATATTCTACTTACATACATACTTAAACACTCACTCACAGTGTTACTTTTTTTCTCCGGAGACAGGGGGGATCTGGATATTTTCGAGGGGGGGGGCAGACAGTGATAAAAGTAGTTGTTTTCTATATAGATTCCATTTCGTCCCCCCCCCCTCAAAGATATGCCTGGAAGAAACTCTGCTCACTCACAAACTCAAGTAAACGCACACACAGACAGACACACAGATAGGCACACAGACAGACATGCAGACACAGACACACACACACACACACAGACTTACAGAGTACTTTAAATGCTATACATTGTTTCATAAAGGGGTCCAATAAAACTAAAAGGAAACACTTTCAGCTTGTGTTTGTGTTTGTGTTTGTGTTTATACATCACTAGCCACTCACAAACAACTGCTCGAAAAATGTGTGGTTTTATTTTGTTAAACAAAGCAATTAGCTAAACAAAGCAATGTGCTATACAAAGCAAGGTGTTAAACAAAGAAATTAGCTAAACAAAACAATTAGCTAACAAAGCAATTTGCTAAACAAAGCAATTAGCTAAACAAAGCAATTAGCTAAACAAAACAAAATTAGCTAAGCAAAGCAATGTGCTATACAAAGCAAGGTGTTAAACAAAGCAATTTGCTAAACAAAGCAATTAGCTAAACAAAGCAATTAGCTCAACAAAGCAAAATTAGCTAAGCAAAGCAATAAAGAGTTATTTAGAATGATTTATTCCCCTTTAATTATTTATAAAGAATGTTTTCTCCAGGTAGGAGGTGATTTTTACTTTCTCGTATATACGACGTTTTACACCTCACTGATACGGAAAAATATAATTTTGCAATCTTGTCGGTATATCTGTGTGTCTGTCGGTCTGTCTGTCTGTGTGTGTGTCTGTGTGTAAACACGATCACTTGAGTACCGTTACAGCTAGGTTGATGAAATTTCATATATAAGTATTTTATCAAAATCGTAGATCCGTATCAACTTTTGAGCGATTTCCGATAACCGGAAGTGGTACTTTTTCTACTTTGAATTTTTCAAAAGCCTATAACTTGAGTACTATTTTAGATAGATAAATGAAATTTCACATGTAAGTAAAAGATCTAATTTTCTATATTCTGTCAAATTTTGAGTAATTTCCGTATACCGGAAGTACTAATTTACGCTTTTTCCGATTTCTCAAAAAACGCACGTAAATTTATAAAGTACTAATAATACCCCGCACTATTATGCACATTTTATTAGGCGTTCACTTAGAGTGCAATTGTTTTGTTTTTTTTACGAGATTATAAAAATAGAAAAATTATAAAAATTATAGATTGTATTATAAAAAGTTTAAGTAATTAAAAATGTATTACAAATATTGTCTATGTCCTGAGTTGCCATCCCTCGTAGTTTTATATTAGAATATCCGAGAAAGTTTAGGGGAGATCACTCCCGGTTTATTTTAAATCTGATTTGTTCTTATGTACGGTCAGTGATTGGATTGTAGTTAATTAACTCTAATCAAATGACGAGCTTATCTTGAGTCACCGAGAATTGCAAGTTTAGATAACACCACGAGATTATGAACAGACAGTCACGTGACCCAATCCATTGTATTGTAGTCTGCCACCCCGACCCCACCACCCCGACCCCATCACCCGACCCCATCACCGATATAAAACACTTGACAGTGTGTGTGTTAACACAGTCGTCAAAAGTTTTCAAAGTTCGGAGTTCCTACTACCTGGCGATACTGACGCAGTAACAACATCTGACAGCTTAGCTCGAGCCAACAGTTGACCTTGAACCCCTCCAGCCAACAGTTGACCTTGAACCCCTGATGGGCAGGTTCACAGCGTGCAAGTTCCAGATCCCCCAGGCTAGGGGCGTTTACTGGCCTGGAGAAATAGTCGAAGGTAATTTCGTTTTTTCTTATCTCCCTTTCACATTCCCACCTCCCCTTCACATTCCCACCTCCCAGAGGCGTAGCGACCCTTCCCGGCGCCCGGGGACAAACTTTCAATTTGGCGCGCCCCTCGGGAGCAAGTTTTCAATTTACACCCCCCCCCCCCCCCCTCAAACTTTCGATTTGCACCCCCCCCCCCCTTTCAAACTATTTGTAATGCAAAAGTGCAGCTAAAATGACATTTTAATTTGTTTTTACAACCCATTTTGGCGCCCCCTAAGGTCGGCGCCCGGGGACATATGTACCCCCCTGCCCCCCCCCCCCCCCCCATCGCTACGCCTCTGACCTCCCCTTCACTTTCTAAGCTCCACTTCACATTCTTACCTCCCTTACTTCTCCGGATAAAATTATCTAAATGCTCGTTTTGCTGCTGGTCTAATGCTGACGTCATCGTCCCCAGGTACCGTGTCCATTAACGTGGACAAGGAGACACGTGTGAAAGGCGTCTACGTCTGCCTGTTCGGTGGTTCGCAGATCCGCTGGCTCGCGGGGAACAACACCGTCACGGCCGAGCAGACCCACTTCAGCCAGCTCTGCACATTTTTCGGCAACACGCCCGGCCAACCCGGCACGTCACACACCCTGGCACCTGGCCAGCACGTCTACAGCTTCAGGTTCGTACTTCCGGCAGCCGACCTGCCGCCGGCATTTGAATGTCCTCTCGGGGCGACCCGCTACTGGCTGAGGCTGTTGGTGGAGCAGCCGTTCCCCAAGCTGAACAAGTCCTGGTACATGTACCTCACGGTGCTCCCCCTCATCGACGTCAGCTGCCCCGCCCACAGGGCCCACGTGACCGCCCGCGGGGAGAAGAAGGTCACCAAGGCCTTTGGGTTCGGTCACGTGGGAAAGTTGACTCTGAGGGCGTCGACCGACAAGGCGGCCTACTGCCCGGGGGAGAGCATCCTCATTGACCTAGATGCCAGTAACGAGACGAGCAAAGACCTGGGCAGTGTCAAGGTCATCTTGATCCAGCACGTGACCTGCAGGGACGGCATGAAGAGGCTGAGGTTCACCAAGCCAATCAGGGCTCTCATGTCTGACAGGATGACGGCGGGAAGGTCCGTCTCGTGGCGTGGGAGACCTCTAAAGGTCGACCTGGTTCCCCCGAGTTACAACACTCAGATCATCTACATCCAGTACTACGTCAAGGTCATAGCCGAGGTTCCGCTTGGCTTCAACCACGTGCTGCACCTTCCCGTTACCATAGGAACGAGATGTTCGGCAGGTGTGGTGCCTGTTGAGTGCACGCACGGCTGCTCGAAGTTCAGCTCCGGCATCAACGACTTTGAGAAGACAAGCTACATCCCGTGGACTGTGTGCGTGTCAGACGGGGACAGGTGTGGTGACAGGTGTGGTGACAGGTGTGGTGACAGGTGTGGTGACAGGTGTGGTGACAGGTGTGGTGACAGGTGTAGTGATAGGTGTGATGACAGGTGTGGTGACTGGTGTGGTGGGGGTGAGCCCCCATCCCCACCTGGACAAGACACGACGCCGCCGGCATACTCGGAGCTGCCGGTCGCGCTGGATGTGATGAAACCTCCAGCAGCTAAGCTTGGGGTAGGGAGTTTGTATCCTCTACAGGATGCAGCTCATTACCACTCAGGTCAGGCAAGCGCCGCCCCACCCACGTATGAGGAGGCGACGGCAAACGATCCCCTCCCCCTGACTCCCGCGATCTCCGATGCTAATGGAGCCATCTTGCTGGTGATGTTTCCTTTAAAACATTGCTTGTCCGTTCAGCAATATTTGACGTCACAACAGGAAGCTCTGACGATACATCAAGGCCGAATGTTGACCTTCAGCCTCGCGCCTTTTCTCAGGTACTCCCAGACGACCTTGACCCTGCCAAGCTCGGCCGCCATGTTTTACTTCAGCTGCGGACAGCGAGCCAAGTCTTGGCTGGGGTCAATGACCTCTGGAGAGCCAACATTGTGCAGCAGCTGGGCCGCCATGCTCGCAGAGAACAAGACACGCCTTCCCCGGCCCGACCCCCCAGGCAGAACCTTGCAGGTGGATTTTACCATCAGGGAGAGTCCAGAGGGTGTAAAAGTGGACACCATTAGCCCGGGTGGTGTTGTGGAAGACACCATTATCCCGGGTGGTGTTGTGGAAGACACCATTATCCCGGGTGGTGTTGTGGAAGACACCATTATCCCGGGTGGTGTTGTGGAAGACACCATTAGCCCGGGTGGTGTTGTGGAAGACACCATTAGCCCGGGTGGTGTTGTGGAAGACACCATTAGCCCGGGTTGTGCTGTGGAAGACACCATTAGCCCGGGTTGTGCTGTGGAAGACACCATTAGCCCGGGTGGTGTTGTGGAAGACACCATTAGCCCGGGTGGTGTTGTGGAAGACACCATTAGCCCGGGTGGTGTTGTTGAAGACACCATTAGCCCGGGTGGTGTTGTGGAGCACAGCAGTCGCCCAAGTGGCGTGGATCAGAAATGCTGTGAGAAACCTTATCAGCTAGCCAACAACCAGCTCATCGTGGACTCCGACAAGCCAGACTTCCTGCTCGGAGACTGGTCCAAATATTTGAGCAGGGACCCAGCCAGAGCCGGACAGTCGGTCTACCCAGACGATAAGGACTTTGATTTTGAATTTGTCACGTTTGAGAATATTTTCTCGGATTGTGTGGAGCCCGACGATGACGTCAGCCGTGGTCACGTGGGCCACGTGGCAAGTGTCGTCTGCTACCAATTCTCGGATGTTGACAAGTTCAAGACTGACCAGGTTGTGCAGTCAAATCTTGACCACAAGAGAGTAGTGTCTATCGTTCTGCCTGGAGACAGTCACCTCCTCCCATAGTCACCTCCTCCCATAGTCGTTATAAACGTTTTGTTTATACACTAACACGGCTGTATATAACTTCAAAAGATGATTGTGTTCGTTAGTAAACAAACCAATTGAAATTATAAAAGATATTGTATCACCATTTTTAAAAACTGCATTAAAAAACGTTTTACTAACAACCTTTTATGAATGCACTAAAAAAGATAAAATAAATTATTTTCTTTAAGTATATTATAATGCACTACAATTTAATTAACTAATAAGTGACCACGATGACGAGCATATAATAGTGCGAATAGAAGGATAATTTCAGAAAATATTAATTAATTCATAAAAAATTAATTAGTCATCCAGTTAACTCAATTTCAAAGTCATTTTGCATTGTCTCCAAGTCTTTACCCACGAGTCTGTCAGTTAGAAATTTCGCTCGTCCGTTTCGATCTATGGGGTCAGACTGACCGACTATAGACAGACTGACGACAGACAGAGGAAGCAAGTTAAATAAAAGTTTCTAAAATTTTTACAAGTTTTTATTTTTTGGTTTTGTTTCTTTTGTAAACCTGACGTCCTCATGGTTGGAGAATTTTCGTGGGGTATATTATTTAGATCTAGATAGTAAGAGTTATCTAGATTCTTCGACTGCTTTGGTTAGGACTTGAGCCGAGTTTTCTCGTAGATCTAGAACCTAGATAGATAAATCCCTTGTATCCTTAAATTAGATGATCAGTGAAGCTAAAAACAAAGATTTATATCAAATGCCCTGCACTGGCATCTCTGAAAAACGTATCTGTAAAGGACCATAACTTGTGTGTTTAGTAATCAGCTTTTACCCGGCATTGCCCACCCTAACCACAACCAACCAAAACACACAAAAAACGCAAACGTAACACTAACACAAAACAAACACAAGCGAAAACACAAAAAAAGCAAAAACAAACCCAACCACAAACACAAAGAAAACACAAACACTAACGCAAACAAAAAAGCAAACGAAAACAAATCCAAACGCAAACACAAACCCAACCACAACCAAACAAAACCAAAATACACCAAAAAATACAACGAAAACATAACACAAACACTAATACAAACACAAACGAAAACACAAAAACAAACGCAAACACAAACACAACCACAAACACAAAGAAAACACAAACGCAAAGAAAAAAACAAACGAAAACACAAACGCAAAGAAAAAAAGCAAACGAAAACAAACCCAAATCCAAACGCAAACACAACCACAAACGCAAACCCAAACTCAAACACAAAGAAAACACAAACACAAAGATAAACGCAAAGTGTCTACAGTCTAGCCCGGGGCGCCAAATCGCACCATGACGACGTGCGGCGTAACCGCCTGATTCAACTTAGTAAACGACTATAGTACCCAACTTATTCATATTCTTTTGAACTCACTTACGCGAACGTAGGTGCCATAGTGAACACGGGAAGGCCCGGGGCGTCAAATAGCACCCTGACGGGATGCCGGAGGACGCCCGGATTTGATTCACTTAAAGACTATAGTAACCTTTCTTATCCATAGTCTATCGCACTGTTTAAAACGAAATTATGCAGCATAGCGCTCACATGATAGCCCAGGGCGCCAAATCGAACCGTGCATGGGGCGCCGGCGGACGCACTTGTTTCAATTTAGTGAACAAAATTATTACTCCAAGCTTATCCGTAAATGGAAAGAAATAAACATATAGGATTTGTAGGACCTGGTTTATTAAATGTTATTGATTTTTAAAAAAAATAGTAAACAGTATGTTCAGTGTATAGAATAAATAAAAGGCAGTATTAAAAATACCAACGACATTGCACTTAATCAATCCCCGCTAATTATGTAATTATTTTTTTTTCCTAACACGAAAACAAATTAATAAAAAGTAAATTCTTTCTTCCCCCAATTGTCAAGGGACGTTATGAGAACTAAAGGACAAAATGCAAATACATTTCAGACACAATTTTAGAAATTTTATAAACGTTGATACACATTTTTTTTTAATTTTATGTAATGTTTGTAATTGAAAATTATTATTCTAAGTATATAAAATGAAAATTGTTTTTAAAAACTTTCATAGTAATTTTTAACTCATAAATTTACACCATGAGCACTTTAATAATCTAACACTTAAATCCATCAAGTATCGTTTTTTTTTATAATCCTTTGTAATCCTCGATTACAAACATATAAACATACAGAATTGAACTTTATATATTAGATTTAAGGACTAAAATAGTTTAATAAAGAAACTCAATAACGTATTCTGACTTTAAAATGCTTTTTAATTTTAACTAATTAATTTTGGTTCGACCTAGATTCTAGATCTATAAATAACTCCCCTCGACAGCTGATCTTTAGATTCTAGATCTAGAGAAATGTATTGTATACTTAAATGAAAAGGACTGTTGAAAATTGATATAAGTGTTAAAGCGTAATAAAAATAGCAAACGGACGTATCGTTAAAGCTATAGCCGACAGAACATTAGCAATATAATGCGTTATAGCTACTTTTGAATTCGCAACAAAATCTTGTATGGAAGCCGCCATTATTTTTGTAAAAAGTAAATAATTCTTGTGACGTCACAATTCACTATAAGTAAAGTCATTGTTCTGAAATTTTATAATTAATGTGGTTAATCTACCAATGAATAAATCAATAAATTAATTAACGTCTTTAAATTAATTTGTGATTTACAGTCTGTCTAAAAACAAAAATTGTTCTCTACCTAATTACGTATTGTATAGCTCAACACATAGTATAGATTCTCTCCAGTAACCAAACGGACAACAAACAAACAAACAAAAATAAGTATACATGTAAACAAACTTGAGTTTTAGTATTTTATAGATTACATAAAAGCTTTTTATTAAAACGTTTTTACAAGTTTTTATTTAACTCACTGTCTTTGTCGGTCTGTCGTCAGTCTTGATCAAAACGCCCGAGCGAAATTACTTGCACTTGTAACTGACAGATGCGACTTGTAGTTAGTACGTGGGTCGAGACATATGACAATGCAACAGAACATTAAATTTTACTTAGTTGGTTGCCTAATTAATTTTTATGAATTAATTTAAAAATTTCCAAAATTAGTAGGCAGTCTTACCCAACTATTTCGCACTATTATACACGCGTCATCTCGTTCATTAGGTGCGCAATGGTTTTTAGTCATACAAGTTTATTGTAAATTTTTAAAATTTCAAGTAGTACTGAAAATAAATTCATAAAAAAAAAACGTTTCAATAACAAGCGTTTATGTAAAAAAACACTAAAAAATAAAAAATAAATTATACACTACTATTTGAATAAATTTTAAAAAGCGAGAATCTCTTCCTAAATAGTAATATATTATATTTTTACATATTTAAAGAAACTCATTTATTTTCTACTTTTTAGTGCATTAGTTCTATAAAAGCTTGTTATTAAACATTTTTTACAATCTTTTATTTAACTCTCTTCCTCTGTTGTCAGTCTAAATTGAAACACCCGAACGAAATTACTGGCACTTCTAACCGAAAAATACGGTTCGTAGTTGGTACGTGGGTCAAGACATGAAGACAATGCAACATGACATTCAACTTGACAATAGTTACATGACTAAAAACCATTGCGCGCCTACTGAACGTGATGGCGCAGCCATTGAACGTGATGGCGCAGCTATTGAACGTGATGACGCGTGTGGTGTGGTTGGATAAACATGCCAACTAATTCGGTCCAAATTTTAATTAATTCATAAAAAATTAATTAGGCATCCAATTTAATCAAATTTAATTTCAGATTGCATCGTCTTCATGTCTTGACCCACGTGCCAACTGTGAACCGTATCTGTCAAGTAGAAGTGTCCGAATTTTCGTTCCGGCGTTTCGATCTAGACAGACTGACGACAGACAGAGGAAGTGAGTTAAATAAAAACTTGTAAAAAATTCATAAAATACGTTTTAATAACATGCTTTTATGTAATAATGCACTAAAAAGTAGAAAATAAATTATACACTACTATTTAAATAACTATAAAGAAAAGCGTGGGTCACTTTAGTATCTATTGGGTACCTTTACTAATGTTAAGGAAGACACCCACGCTTTTCTTTATAGTTATTTAAATAGTAGTCTATAATTTATTTTCTACTTTTTAGTGCATTATTACATAAAAGTTTGTTATTAAAACGTTTTTTATGAATTTTTTTCAGTACTTTACATGTTTTATTTACAATAGAGTTACATGACTAAAAACCATTGCGCGCCTACTGAACGTGATGGTGCAGCCATTGAACGTGATGACGCGTGTGGTGTGGTTGGATAAACATGCCTACTAATTCGGTCCAAATTTTAATTAATTCATATAAAATTAATTAGGCATCCAATTAAGTCAAATTTAATTTCAGATTGCATTGTCTTCATGTCTTGTCCCATGTGCCAACTGTGAATCGTATCGGTTAAGTAGAAGTGTCCGAATTTTCACTCCGGCGTTTCGATCTAGACAGACTGACGACTGACGACAGACTGTCGACAGAGGAAGTGAGTTAAATAAAAGCTTGTAAAAACTTTCATAATAAACGTTTTAATAACAAGCTTTTATGTAATAATGCACTAAAAAGTAGAAAATAAATTATACACTACTATTTAAATAACTATAAAGAAAAGAGTGCGTCACTTTAATATATATATATATATATATATATATATATATATATATATATATATATATATATATATATATATATATATATATATGTATGTATGTATTGGATACTTTTACTAATGTTTAGGAAGAGACCCACGCTTTTCTTTATAGTTATTTAAATAGTAGTGTATAATTTATTTTCTACTTTTTAGTGCATTATTACATAAAAGCTTGTTATTAAAACGTTTTTTTATGAAAAAAATTTCAGTACTTTACATATTTTATTTACAATAGAGTTTCATGACTAAAAACCATTGCGCGCCTTTGAACGTGATGGCGCAGCTATTGAACGAGATGACGCGTGTGGTGCGGTTGGATAGACATGCTTACTAATTCGGCACAAATTTTAATTAATGCATAAAAAATTAATTAGGCATCCAATTAAGTCAAATTTAATGTTACGATGCATTGTCTTTATGTCTTGACCCACGTGCCAACTGTGAATGGTTTCTGTCAAGTAGAAGTGTCCGAATTTTTACTCCTGCGTTTCGATCTAGCCAGACTGACGACTGACGACAGACTGACGAGGAAGTGAGTTAAATAAAAGCTTGTAAAAACAATGTTTTATACAAATTTACATCAGAAAACAGTTTTAATATCAACAAATTATTCTTTATTTAAAAATCTATTTATTAAAAATGTATTAATTACAATAAATTATTTAATTGACTGAAAAACAATTATAATTTCAACTTTTTTTTAAATAAGCTTTTAAACAAATTATTCATTACAAAAAATCTTTTAATTACAACAAACTATTCTTTAGAAAAAATTCATCATGGTGAGGTTTTAAAGTTAAAAAGGAAAGAAAAAAATGTCGGGCAATTAAAGAAAGTTGAAAAGGCTGATGAAAAGACCCAAAGAATTTTTTTTAAAATAATCTTAAACTCAGATGTAGATCACAATGGGACAAGAATTCGGACAGGTGTGTTTTTGTACAAGTGTGTGTACAACTGTGAACAAGTGTGTACAGGCGTGTTAGTGTGCAGGTGTGTTTATGTGTGTACATTTCTAAGTGTAATACTATCAGTAACTGATTGAACACTTCAGTTTTAATCTAGTCAAACTATTGCGCATCTATCTCTCCAGTTCAGCTATCACGTGGCTTATCTCATCGTTTGATCTCATTATTTTATCTAATCGCGCCCAAAAAATAGCAGACGGCAACCCTGTCAAAACCGACCTAGGTTTACTTTTCAATTTCAGTGGAGGGGTCTTGTAGACATCAATACATACGTCATCTAGACATTACATACGTCATCTAGACATTAATACATACGTGATCTAGACATTAATACATACGTTATCTAGACATTAATACATACATATAGAGATTAATAAGGGTCATCAAAACATTAGTACTGGGATCATCAAAACATTAGTACAGGGGTCTGCCATTGAGGATGACGTTTGTTGACCCCCAGCTCTCTGACCTTTCAAGGTCATCCAAGAGATCCTGGTCAGCTGCAAGTGCGCTGGAAAACTCCAAATGTTTGTTGACATCCGGGAACTGGTAGCAGACGACACTCACGCTCGTCTGATCATTGGCAGACTCCAGACCATCCTCGTCACATGCGTCTGCCCAGTCGTCTGCTGGGGTCGCTTCTTCTTGGGATGTTTGTGGGGTCGCTTCTTCTTGGGATGTTTGTGGGGTCGCTTCTTCTTGGGATGTTTGTGGGGTCGCTTCTTCTTGGGATAATTGTAGGGTCGCCTCTTCTTGTGATGATTGTGGGGTCGCTTCTTCTTGGGATGATTGTGGGGTCGTCTTTTCATTAACGGTTAGCGGAGCCAATCCTGAAGATAGATTGTCCGTTGTGACGTCACTGCCATAGCTTCCGTCTGCCGCCAGTGGTGCTGACGTTTGGTTCTCCCCAGCATACGCTGACCAATCTCCCTGCACAAATCTCGTCTGCCTGGAGTCCAGAATAAGTCTTCCTCCTGCGGCTTCAGCGAGAACGTTAAGTTTCTTTCTGTGCGACGCCGCGTCCTGTGACGCCGCGTCCTGTGACGCCGTGTCCTCTGATGGTTGGTGCCTGGTGCAGGAGATGGTGACTTGCAAGGTTTGACCCCTGGCGTTTGGTGCTGTCAGGCTGGCGCTGTTCTCTGAGACCAGAGCTGACCAGTGCTCGGCTTGACCTGGGTGTGTACGTGTGACGCTGCCCATCCAACGCTCGGCCTGTCTGCCGTCTTTAAAGTACAGGACAGCAGCCGCCGTGTTCTTGGGCCAGGGGATGCTGGAGCTGCCCACGTACGGGGCCGTACAAAAGTTGAGGACGTAGCCTCCATGGGACACCAGTGATGCTTGTTCGTTCAACAGGCGTTCTTTCACCGTCAGACTTTCTTTCACGGGGAAACGAATGAGAAGGAAAGCGCCTTTATCAGCTAGAGAAACATTGGAGTAGGCGATGGCCTCCTCGTAAGTGGGCGGGGCGACAGGTGAGTCTTGTACAGAGCATGCAACAGATGGAGCCTGAGAACTGACGTGTGCGCAAGTTTTAGAATCTGTGGGTCGGGTCGAGTCGTAGACAGGGAGTTGCCCACGTGATGCTTGCCCGCTGCTGCTGTCACAAACTGTCCAAGGGACGTAGGGCAGGTTGGCCACACAGTGGGCAAAACGGTCGAAGCCGGTGTTACATGGCCGATACTGCTTGTCGCAGTCCGGTGCGTCGGTGGTGATGTGGAGCTGTAGCTTGAGCGCCAGGTCGTGTCCTAGCGGCACCTCGACCAGGACACGCAGGTGGTAGGACACCTGGATCAGGCGGCACGGCGGGTTCGGTATGCTGGGCGGCACTTGGTCCACCTCCAGCGGTTGGTTGGTCCAGACCATCGTCTGGCCAGCTCGCAGCTTGACAGACGACACGACTGTGCGGATGTCCCACGACTTGACCATTGACCTGCCTTGAGCCGTGTAGAAGACGCTCTGGACCAACGAAGCCTTGACGAAGCCAAGATCTTTGCCGCTCTCGTTCTTTGCCTCGACGTTCAGCAGGATCGTCTGGCCCGGCAAATATGCCGATTTGTTTGCCGTTGCTGACAAGATGAGTTTGCCGGCATTGCCTAGCCCCAGTGCTCTCGAGACGCTCTTCTCGGCCTGCCCAGTGCAGGGGGTGATGAACAGGGCCGGCGTTTCCTCAGACAGAGCCAGCACCGTGAAGAATCTGTACCAGCAGCGTGTCTTGCGTGAGGGCATGCTGATGACGAATTTCAGGTAGTATCGGATGGAGCCGTAGAAGCTCTCGAATGACGAGGGCAGCCCGCGGTCCGGCAGTCTGAAGGCGAAGCTGTAGACCTGCTTCCCCGCGGTCAGTAGGTGTGGCGGGCCTGTCTGGTTCGGTCGGTTGCCAAAGAGACACCTGTATAGGTTAATGTAGAACTCCTGCTGGGTAACATAGCCGGCTGGGTTATCCCAGGCCGTGTGAGCGCTACCGTAGATGTAAAGGTTCAGACCACTCACCGCTGTGTCCTGGTTACACATGATGGACACTTTGCCTAGAGAAATTAAAGGGATAGAATGGCACTTTAGATAAATTAAAGGGAGAGAATGACACTTTAGATAAATTAAAGGGAGAGAATGACACTTTAGATAAATTAAAGGGAAAGAATGACACATTACATGACTTAAAGGGAGATAATGGCAGTTTAAATAAATTAAAGGTAGAGTATGGCACTTTAAATAAATTAAAGGGAGAGAATGACACTTTAGAGAAATTAAAGGAAGATAGCGGACACCTCTTAAGTCTACTACCTCCAATGTATTTTGAATGATCTCATATGGCAAAAAACTAAAGTGTATACCTTGAATGATCTGACCAGGTTTAAAGACCCTCCTCCCGTTAGGGATCACAAACATGCAGTCAGAAAACTCGGCCATGTTTCCGTCGGTGTTTTGTGAGAAGCTCTTGGAGAAATGTGTACCGCGACACCGAAGTTTTCCGTTTTATACTTGTGTTATCAGCAGTAGCATCATGACGCTTCTTCATGCTAAATATACACGGGATTTTTTGAATGAAGCAATCTTTGATGATGATTGCTAGTCACGTGGTCCGATATCTCTGACGTCAGGAGATGAACCGATCGATGACTACATTCAAAGGGGAGATAAAATACTAGCTTATATTATATTTACAAATCACACATAAAATACTAGCTTATATCTAAATACTACTAAAACTCAAGTTTGTTTACATGTATGAATATTTTTTTTTTTTGTCTGATTGGCTACTGGAGAGAATCTGCACTATGTGTAGAGCTGTAAAATAGTATGTAGGTAGAGAACAATTTTTGTTTTCAGACAGACTGTTAATCACAAAGTTATTTAAAGACGTTAAATTAATTTATTGATTTATTCACTGGTAGATTAACCACATTAATTTTTAAAGTTTAGAAAAACGACTTTACTTTGAGTGAATAGTGACGTCACATGATTTGTTTACTTTTTAGTACAGTAAATGGCACCTCCAATACAAGATTTCGTTGCTTATTCAGATATTTAACGCGTTATAAAGCTAATTTTCTGTCGGCTATAACTTTAACAATACGACCGTTTGCTGTTTTTATTACGTTCCAACACTTATGTAAATTTTCAACTGTCTTTTTCATTTAGTTTTACAATAAATTTCTCTAGATCTATAATCTCTCCAAGAAAGTTATTTATAGATATAGATCTAGGATCTAGTTCAAACCAAAGATTAATTAGTTAAAAATACAATCCATTTTAAAATGATAATACATTTTTGAGTTTCTTTATTAAACTACTTTAGTACTTAAATACTTGATATAAATCTTTGTGATTTATCTATCTAGATCTAGAATACGTCTAGATATAGCAAGAGTTACGCAAAAACTAGACTTAAGCAAACGAGTCGTAGAATCTAGATAATTCTATCTAGATCTAGATAATAATGAGTTTCTGTACTAAACTATTTCAGACCTTCATTGTTTTATATAAATCTTTGTTTGTTTAGCTATGGAATTGGCTAATTTAAGATAAAATTTAATTTGAAAGTTACTAGCCTTAGATCTAGATAGGGCATATGCGCGTAAATCAAGTTGCATAAGGACACTCAAAGTATTAAACTATACATAAAAAAACATCAGTGACGTCACGAGTCTAAATAGCTAAGTTGTTAGTGTAATAGGCTTTCATGCGGGTGGCACGGATTCTAGACACATCACGTCAATGTTAAAAAAAAAATCTAATTTTAAAATTTTTTTTAGATGTGAATGATAAAGTTGCCTATCTGAACCTGGCGGGATACAGGGCATGTGAAGTAGAGTTCATCTGTTTCTTTGTCCTAACCATATGAAGGGATAGTGTGGTCAGATACATGCTCGGCCGGAGTAGTTTTTTTTTAAACGATAAAAACATGTTGTCTGAGACTTGGCGGGACACTGGGCAGGTGAAGTAGAGTTGAGTAGGTCACCTGTGACGTCAGTATATGAAGGGATAGTGTGGTGAGACCAATGCTCAGCCGAAATCAGTGTTTTTAAAAAATAAAAATAAACGTCTTTTTGAATGTGGGGGTCTGGTTTTTTGTGATGATAAGTGACAGACGTGATGTCATTTATGGATGACCCCCGAAACCCACAGTTATCTAAGGGATGACGGGTAAGTCTAGTTATATTTACAAATCACACATAAAATGCGCTATGAAGGAAAAAAAATTAGTTTAGTGTAACCTTCCTTGATCTATCTAAAGCTATACGCTGGTATTTTATAGATAAAGGCCCGGGCTTTAAATGATGAAAAGTGATCATTGTGTTTTATATTCAACGTGAACCTATCAATACACTCCATATGAAGGAATGTTCTCCATAAATGAGCACCAATGAAATTATTTTTGGTCATACGAGGTTATTGCTTTAGTAAAGTTACATAATGAAGGCAATGAAGACAGTGCAAAAAGAAAAAAAAAACAAGACAGTCTGTCGTTATAGATCGAAACACTCGAGCAAAATTTCGGGCACTTCTAACTGACATAACTTCTATAACTTCTTTATAGATATTTCAATAGTAGCGTGTCGTTTATTTTCTACTTTTTAGTGCATTACAACATAAAAACTTTTTATTAAAACGTTTTTACAGGCTTTTATTTAACTTGCTTCCTCTGTCGACAGTCTGTCAGTCGTCAATCCGTAGTCATATATCGAAACGAGCGAGCAAAATTTCGAGCACTTCTAAATGACAGATTTGGTTCCAAGTTTGCAAGTGGGTCAAGGCATGAAGACAATGCAATCTGACATTAAACTTGACTTAATTGGATGTCTAATTATTTTTTATGAATTAATTAAATCTGTGTCCAAATTAGTAGACTGTTTTGCCCAACTATTCCGCACTATTATACGCGAGTTATCATATTCATTTGGCGCGTAATGGTTTTTAGTCATGCAACTTTACTGTAAACTTTAAAAATTTAAAGTACTGAAAAAATAAACTGGGAGTTATATCCCCTAAACTTTCTCGAATATTCTTATATAACACTTCGAAGGTTGGCAACGCGGGATATAGTATTGATTTTTAATTAATTTTTAATTATTTCAACTTTTCAAATAGAAAAAAATCTCAAAAAAAAAAAAGAATTGCGCAACAAGTGAATGGCAAACAATATGTGCATAATTGTGCGGAATATTATAAGTACTTTATAAATTCGTTTTCGTTTTTTGAGAAATGGGAAATAGCGTAAATTACTACTTCTGTTTAACGGAAATTACTCAAAATTTGATAGAAGGCAGAAAATTAGTTATTTTACTTATATGTGAAATTTCGTTTATCTATCTGAAACAGTACTCAAGATATGGGCTTATGAAAAACTAAAAGTAGAATAAGTTCCACTTCCGGTTATCGTAAATCGCTGAAAGATGATACAGAACTACGAATTTGATATATGAAATTTCATCAGCCTAGCTGTAACGGTACTCAAGTTATCGTGTTTACAGACATACACACACACACACATACGAACAGAATTGCAACACCCAGTTTCTCCGACTCGAATACGCATAAAACGCCGAAATTTTAATACATTTTTGCCTGATTAAAATAAGTCCCCTATACTCCGTGTGTGATGAAGTACTGAGGTGTAAAACGGTGAAAACTGTCAAAATTTCATATGGTTTTTTTGTGCACGATTACAATACTTCCTCTATACACTGTATACGAGAAAGTAAAAAAATCATTTTAAAAAAAACGTTTTAATAACAAGCTTGTATGTAATAATGGACTAAAAAGTAGAAAATAAATGATTTTCTTTAAATATATAAATAACTAGCCGTCCCGGCCAGGCCTCTGTGAAAAAAACTATCTGTAAAGGACCACGACATCGGTGTTTAGTAACCAGCATATACCCGGCATTGCCCACCCTAACCTCAACCAACCAAAACCAAAACGCAAAATGTTTAGAGTCTAGCCCGGGGAGCCAAATCACACCATGCTAGGGCGCCGGCGTAATCGCCTGTTTCAGCTTAGTAAACAACTACAGTACCCCAACTTATTCATAGTCTTTTGGACTCACTTAAACGAATGTAGGCGCCATAGCGAACACGGGAAGACCCGGGCCGCCCGGATTTGATTCACTTAAAGACAATAGTAACCTTTCTTATCCATAGTCTATCGCACTGTTCAAAACGAGATTATGCACCATAGCGCTCACAGGATAGCACAGGGCGCCAAATCGAACCGTGCTGGGGCGCCGGCGAACGCGCCTGTTTCAATTTAGTTAACAACTAAATTACCTCAAGTTTATCCACAAACGGAAAGAAGTAAAGGTAGAGCAGCTGGCTTCTTAACTGTTAATTATTATTTTTAAAATTAGTAAACAGTACGTTCAGTGCATAAAAAATAAAAGACAGTATCTAAAACACCTACCACTACCACATTGTACTAGATCAGGGGTCTCCAAACTACGGCCCGCGGGCCGGATGCGGCCCGCGAGGTCCTCTCATCCGGCCCGCGGAGATCTTTTTGTCCGCGGAAAAAACGTTTGTTGGTGATGGCTGAGGAACTTTGCCCAGAAAAATCAAAGACATGCCTGGAAGAATCTGGCCCCCGAACTGAAATTTGATAGTTAATGCGGCCCTCGGACTGAAAAGTTTGGAGACCCCTGTACTAGATCAATCTGTGCTGGTTTGAAGTATTCTTTTTTCCCAACATCAAAACAAAATCGTAAAAAGTAAATTTTTCCTTAGATGTATGTTTTTTTAATAAAGGGAAGTAATTGTGTTTTCCTAATTTATCCAGGGACGTAATGAGTGCTAAAGGACTAAATGTAAATAATTTTCAGACAATTAGAATTTGTGGGAAAGGTGATACATTTTTAAAACGTTGTTTAATTAACAAGTCGGCAAATATTATTATTATAAGTTTGAAAAATGAAAATTATTTTACAGCACCTTCAATATTACTTTTTTAAAATCATGAATTTAGACGGTGATTACTTTAAATATCTAACACTTTACGACATAGAAGTATTATTTTTTCGTTGATTTTGTAACCATTGGTAACAAACATACAGAATTGAACTTAATATATTAGATCAGGGGTCGGCAACCTGCGGCTCGCGAGCCGCATGCGGCTCCTTTGATGTCAGGATGCGGCTCTTCTGCTCCATGCACAAATATTAATAATAATTTTATTTTCGAAACTCTTAAAATATTGTTCTGCAACATTCGGTGATGAACGATATAACAATAAATATAAACGATAAACACTCGCTATTCTATTAGAATTGTAACGTTTTTACTGCTCTCAAAATATGCTGTTCTATTGTAATATTCTTGCTTCTATCAAACGTAACGTTCTTCTTCTCTTCTATTTCTCACTCTCAGTCACAGTTACAGACGATCAAGAATGAAGAATAAGCCGTCTTCTGCAAATCTTTATTTGACTATCTTTCTTGAGCGGGAATTGTCTGTGTAGCGCGCATCTAACAAGACTATAGCGCCAATACGTGTGCTGCATAAATTACTGCT